CTCTTTGGCTTGAGCGAGTTTTTCTGGTGAGAAAGAAGAGACAAAAACACAACACCCCGATACTTAAACTTCATGATCTTCCAGCTTTTCTCCCCAAATAAACCCCCCCATCGCTTACCTTCCTGCGCAAGACAAGTCTAGGATTGCATCCGTAAAAAAAAAGTCCATTTTTTTTTCTAATTGCTCTAATTTAGTAAGGTTTTGGGACACGTCGTGCCAAACGTGACAGATTTATACTTTGATTTCACATGTAACCAACAGGACACATCCATCCGAGTTCCTACTGTCCTCAGAGCCCTTATTTTGGGTGAAGAGCGGTGTATTTTAGCTGAGTGCTAAGGAAATAAAGCCCGAAAGCTGAAAGGCAGAGAGAAACTTGTTTTTATTGAGCTCAGTTCTTACAGAGGAGCTTGAGGGATTGGCCGGTGGAAGGAGGACGGAAGTGACAGGTTTTACAGGCAAGGAAAGCTGAAGAGCTGCAGGGAGTGAGGGCGGCCCCCGGCGCCGCTCACAGAGAGGTCATGTCATTGAGAGCATGGTCAAGCTCCTCGCTGATGGCTTTGTACTTCAGCTTCTGAGCATAGAGCTCGTCTGTCCATCCCCGGGGCAGAAATGCAGAAAAACAGTCCAGAGGCAGAGGCGCAGAGCGGGAGAGCCGGAGAGAGGCAGAGGGCAGCAGGCAGAGCAGATGGGGCAGGGGAGAAGAGAAAAGAGACAAGATGCACAGTTGAGTATCAGCACAAAAGCAACAAATCCCCACAGGGGCCAGGTCAGAGCCTTCATCTACATTTCCTTTTTTACATCTCACTATATTATTCTGTCCATCCCCGGGGCAGAAATGCAGAAAAACAGTCCAGAGGCAGAGGCGCAGAGCGGGAGAGCCGGAGAGAGGCAGAGGGCAGCAGGCAGAGCAGATGGGGCAGGGGAGAAGAGAAAAGAGACAAGATGCACAGTTGAGTATCGGCACGAAAACAACAAATCCCCACATGGGCCGGGTCAGAACCTTCATCTACATTTCCTTTTTTTAAATCTCACTATGTTACTTTTCAGTAATCGCATTACGCAGGGTTATCGTCCTGTTAGAAACACCCCTCGAGGCCGTGTGTCTGTGAGTTGGCCAAAATCAGGTTATTGTTACCAATTTTTTTGAAAGAGAACCTCTTGCAGGAGAATTCCCTCCGTCCAGGAGGTGCCACGTGGGACAGACGTGTCAATGCTCCCGATGGGCACTTCTGTCCTGTCCCAGTAACACCTGGCACCCACTCCTGGAGTTTTGTTTTCTGATTTGAAATGGACCACACATCTAAATAAAACCACTCGTGTAATTTCATACCTTCCAGGTCATCGATAGACTTTTCCAGTTTGGCAACTGTTCTCTCCGCAAACTCGGCGCGAGTTTCAGCCTAAAAAGAAAATGAAATAGAGTTAAGTGGATGCTGTTAAAACAAACAAACAAAAAAAAAGATGCCAAAAGACAGCGTGGGGGTGGATAAACTCACTTCTTTAAGCTTGTCTGAGAGAATCTTGATTTCTTCTTCGTATTTATCTTCTTTTTCCGAGTACTGTGAAAACAATAAACACTCTTTAAGGGAAGCTGTAGCGACAAGAATAGATGTTTATGAAACCGTGACCTATTTATAACCACTTTTCCTTTTACTGCAGCTGCAAAGACCCTTTCCATCCGTTTCTCCTCCTCCCCAAGACATTTCAGACTCTGGTTCATAAACCACCATTTTAAGACTGGGGACGTCCAGGTTCTTCCATGCCTCATCCTGGACCTTAACGGGCTTCAGCAGAAACCAGCAGAATGGGCAAGAGAACAGGAATCTGTCCACACCAGTTCAGACTAGCCAGAAACAACTCTTTAACAAAACCAAGGTTTTTAACACTTTTGACTGTTAAACTGCAAAACCCACAAAAAGAGCCAAATCAGCACCATACTGGTGTGGGAAGCAGAGATTTAGGGTCTGGTTTGATGATTATCAGATAACTAACAAGGGTGTGGGCAGAACGGGCTCAGCGTTCTGAGCAGCCTCTGTTGAACAGGCAGTCACTTTCACTTTCATTGTAATTCTGGGTTATTTCTATGGACTTTCATTACAAGTTTTGACTTTGCCCCTATCCGGAAAGAACCAACCTTTTCAGATTGAGCTTCCAAAGATTTCAGGTTGTTAGTGACGTTCTTTAACTCCTCTTCAAGGTCACTACATTTACTACAGGAAAAAAAATAAATGTATAAATTACTGCTGTCCCTGTTATAACTTAACTTAATCTTCAAGAAATCTAAAAATACAAGCGATGAAGTAATTATAAAGTCTGAAAGGAGTAAATTGGATACATAGGGTACAAAAAAGCTTTGCTACAAATACAGCTTTGACCTTCACTGAGTTCTGAACTCTGCTGTGTATCTGCTGTTACTCACACTTCGGACACCTCCGCGCGCTCCTCAGCTCTTTCCAGTTCACCCTCCAAAATAACCAGTTTACGGGCAACCTGTGGAGAGACAAGAGCTGTCTGTAATTTCTCAGACGTTTCTCTCAAAGCACTTAGCTCCTGATTTCCTCCTGAATTACCAAATTAGATTAAAACATATGTGTACAGACGGGACAGACTTTTCCCCCAAATAAGTTAGATTTTGCAGTGTTCTTAGTACTAAATACCTATATGCTGCTAAAATCACTATTGAAATTGCTCCTTTTTGGGAACGTTCCAGGTCGAACCACCGTACAAAGACTGACTAAACTGCAGAGTAACAAAGCTGGTCCCAGTTCTCCCGTACGTTTACCCATTTCCTCATCCCTTTTACCTCTTCGTATTTGCGGTCAGCTTCTTCAGCGATGTGCTTCGCCTCCTTCAGTTGCATTTCCTGAATTTCCATTTTCTCTTCATCTTTCATTGCTCTGTTCTCGATAACCTTCATTCCTCTGCAGAAGTCAAAGCCAAGTGTGTTGAAGGCAGAAGCATTTTAGCATTTTTATCTCAAATGTGCCAAAGTGGAATTCAGTATTTGTAACCAGAAAGTGGCTCGTTAGGACCGTATTATCACGTTCCTCGAGGCTAACAGAAATTACTCAGTTAAGCTTATAAAAAAGGTACCTCTAGTTTGGGGTCTCTGGCCTGCAATGCACATTGGCATATGCAGACACTAAATTGTACAGGGATATTTAGGGATATTTTAGGATATTAGTCTTATCCAGGAACAGGGCTACAAAGATGATGAGGGGCCTGGAGCATCTCTCTGATGAGGAAAGGCTGAGGGACTTGGGTCTTTTTAGTCTAGAGAAGAGAAGGCTGAGGGGGGATCTGATCAACACCTATAAATACTGAAAGGGTGGGTGTCAGGAGGATGGGGCCAGGCTTTTCTCAGTGGTGCCCAGGGACAGGACAAGAGGTAATGGGAACAAACCTGAACATGGAAGTTCCACCTAAACATGAGGAGGAACTTCTTTCCTGTGAGGGTGTCAGAGCCCTGGCAGAGGCTGCCCAGAGAGGTGGTGGAGTCTCCTTCTCTGGAGACATTCAAAACCCACCTGGACACATTCCTGTTCAACCCACTCTAGGTGGACCTGCTTTGGCAGGGGGTTGGACTGCATGATCTCCAGAAGCCCCTTCCAGCCCCATATCATTCTGTGATTTTATTCATATATATTCCATTTTTTACCAAAAAAAAAATTTAAAAAAAAAAAAAGAGAAAGAGGAAATGAAGGAAACATACCTCTCGCTCTCATCCGCCGCTTTCTCGGCCTCCTCCAGTTTCTGCAGGGCTGTGGCCAACCGTTCCTGGGCACGATCCAGCTCCTCTTCCACGAGCTGGATCCGTCTGTTCAGCGCTGCCACCTCGCCTTCGGCCTGTATGGAACAAACAGACGTGGGTCATGCCCAGCCCGGTGCAGCCGACACACTCTCAGCTGGTCACTTCCCTTAAAACCACAAAGGCTTCTCCTCCCTACGTGTGGGGAAACTCTAGGAACCTCTCTCTCTGCTTTTTGTTTGCTTAAACTACGGCATCTCAGGAATTTCAGGGTATGGTGTGTGTGCTTCTCCTTTCTTTCTTTTTTAATGGTACTTATCATTCCTGCCACACAACGGATCCGGCAGGGATTGCCAACGGAGAAATATTTTCAGATCACTTCTCGGGGCTGGGACTACCCATAGGATTTTACAGTTAAAAACTGAACTGTTTCCGTAAGGACTCATCCAAAAAAACTTCACAGTTGGTTTCTCTGTTGTTGGTTTCATCACAGATTGCAGCAATATCCTGTCAGAGCTCACTGCTGAAGTTAAAGCTATTTCATTATCCATTACGGGCTCTTTAGCCCTCAAATGCAATCTAATCTTTCTGCGCTCAGCTGGGCAGAGTCAGTCCTTTTTGTAACTTAAATAGGGCAAAATTGGATACTTTCTTACACTAAGTTCACTTTCCTTGTTCATTGTTTCCTGTGGTACTTAAGGGATTAGGCAGAAAGCATTTCTTAATAATAAGGTCTGTTTATAGATTATTGAATAAACTGCACAGTAATTGGAAACACTATTAATGTTTAAAAAACAGACTAGATAATAAACGGAGAGGTTGTTGGGAGAAATGCTCACATCCAGACAATATGAGCCAATTGGGTGTCCGTAAATACACCATTTTTATTAAGATATGGCTTCTTTAGTTGTTATTTGAAGGACAATAAAACCCTACTTTAATAACTACACACTTAATAGTCCCCAAGTCTGAGCATGATTGCTATAGATAAGAGTAACTTTTTTAAAAAAAAAAACAACCCACTTTTATGGGCTATATTGTTTTATGCTTTGTGTTAAACACTCTGAAAAAAGTATTTGTTTTGCTGCAGCTTTGCGAATTTGGTTACTGACCGCTCCCCTAAGCTGGAGGAAGTGGTTTCCATTCATAGCTGAACCATCTTGGAAAGGATTTCAGTGACTGATCCAAATGGAAGTTGACCCAGGATTCCTCTGGTCATAAATTATCCTGCATTTCATTTGTTTTCTACCCAGTGCTGTGTGTTTAAAACTTTCTCGATTTACATCGAGGCATCAATCACGTTAGAAAACTGGCATCTGTTACGTGGCGGTTTGCGACTCCTTCCACTAGACAGGCCACTTTTAAGTCATATTTTAATTAAGCAAGATTCCAAAGCTATGGAGACGGGGCCACTGGGAAGCTGGAGTTAGGCTGGCTCCACCTCTCCCAGCAGCAGCCCGCAGTCCTTATACGGTAAAACTAACTCGCTGACATGTGATAAAATAGCAGGAAGATGCCGGGAAGGCTGATCACACACAAATCTTAAGTGAAACCAGCTGTCCAGCCCCGGGAGAACCGCACACTAGTGGAGAGTTCTGATTTCTCTGTGAAAAACCAGGAGGGAAAGTTATTTTCCAGCAGTTCGGACATTTCCCAGCTGTGCTGGAGCCAGCGGTGCGGCGCCGAGAGGCGGGAACTCCCCGCTCCTTGTCATGCTAATGCTTTTTCCTAATTAAACAGCCATTTCCTACTCGACTCGTAACCGCTTCCCGATGCCGATCGGTGCTCGCAAGGCTTGCTTTTTTTTTTTTTTTTTTTGGGAGGAAAACGGCCCCAAAAGGCCGAAAAAGACGG